ATAATTCTGAAGGAGGGCTAAGCGGTGGGATTAGGCAGAGTTCGAAACCATTTACCACGAAGAAGGTTTGCAGCAGATCACGTAGGTGCTTATTAAGCAGGGCATAGGACTCTGTGTTCGAACACCGGTCAGGTCATTCGGCCTTGTTCCTTCCGTATTTGATAAATAAGTAGCGCTCTATGGAAAAGAAACAGTAAACTATACATTATGATTGCTTCACAGCTGTAGAGACTGCTTTTAAAATAACATAATCTTGGCTGTTGGCATAAAAATATAGATCGGTACCCTTATTATTAAGTTCATGAACACAGAGGGTTCAAAAATGGCACCATGAAGCATGTGTAACTAAGACCGAGAATGCAATAATTCCAAAAATTAAATTCCTTTCAATGAAACATGAAACGCTCAGCTGTCAAAGTTTTGATAAGATTTCATGTTTCCGATTCTGAGTCTAAGTTACTGTATTTTGTTGAAGTCAACTTGCTGATCCATTGCTGAGGCCCAAAAAAAAAGAGATGGCGAATATCAATTTACTGCAAATGCCGCGTTTCGATACCAAACCAGGAGCTCAGTTGTACGCTGAAGATGCTGTGTTTGTATCAAGAAAAGTGCTGCAAATGAAAGTTTTACCGTCTGCTTTGCGAATCAATGAAACAACCACAATTCTAACAAATAACCGATAGAGTCATTACGTTAGACTAAATGGCAAGACAGCGACTGGTAGCTTACAGTCCGCTGGCAATAAGCTCGGATCAGTAGAGTTAAGTGATGACCACTGATTCCTCTATTCCTCACCATCATCATATACGAACAACGTAATGACTTTACCGCGATCTACTTTTCCAATGTGACACTGAGTAGAACGCAAAACAACCGCATCATCTGAAGCAACAATTCATTATCGGTTAAAGGCATAAAAAATCAATTCTAAGCCATATTTCGTTCAAATCTATTTAAAGAAATCATGTATAATGATGTTATGCATCCAGACCTATTTAAAATAAACAAAATAGGCAAAAAATTTGAAAAGATCAAGAGCGAAGGTAGAACGACTGGCGAGAAAAAGTTTTGATAACAAAAGCCTTAGGTAAAATTCACGCTCGACAAAGCGAAAATCATCAGCTAATGCAAAAACACCCATAAAAGTCATTCAAACAGCGACTACAAATTAAGAAAACAGAACGCGGCTGCCTTTCAATCAATTATGGGTGCATGTTAATTTGAACGACTAAAGCAAACCGTGTTACACAGCCAGTAGCCGCTGAGAGTTGAGCGGACGAAAGAGAAAAAGCGTGAGAGAAACAAGTTACAAAGCAGCTCGAAATTAGACTAACTACCGGGTAAAATTTTACTGGGCACATTCCGTGCCTTATATGCAAAAAATAAAACTAAAAATAAAAACCTTTAAAAGTCGCTAGCCGATGAGCGATTGACAATCGTTTTTCAGAACAGAACATAATCATCTTAGAACAAAAAAGGAGGTAGGATAAAAATACCACAAACATTTGCGATTAAAGTAGTAAAAGCCGCTGAAAAGTGAATGACTGGATGAAAAGTAGCAGAAGTACGAATAAGTAGATGAAATGTTGTTGTTTAAAACAACCGGTAGCAAAATGGAAACGGCGGCGATCGATGGGAGTCGCGCGCTTTAGAACAGACATAACACAGAGCAGAACAGACTTCATCAATTCATGAATAAATGATCTACTTCGATTTGTCTACAAATTTTGGGTGCGTCTTTTTGCTCATGCCGTTGATGGTTCGCGACATCAGTTTGCCATTTTCCAACACCTCGATCGTCTCGATATCGCCCTCTACCGTTCTAGAACAATCAGTCGATGAGCAACATGCCACTCGAAGCATGGTATACACATCAATATACGGGCAGAGATGAAAATTTGTGAAAGCCTCGTGTAATTTTAATATTCGATAACGTTAGACGCACACGTTACAACAAAACTTATACACCGGAAACATAATATCATGAAAATTTGATTTATTAATTTATTCACTGCGCTGTAAGAATCCGGAGAAGTGAAGACTGTGACTAGTGCGGGGGGAGGGAGGGGCAGAATCTATGCAATCTATGGTTCCACGGCATTCGTCAGAGGAAACTAGGAGCAAAGGGTGGTGTAATACACCTTTAAATCTGGTCCTGGAGGAGTCATTCGTCATTCGATATAGTCAAACGTACGGACAGTTTGTGACATTTATGCGGCAGCATGTAGCTTACAAACTTTTGAAACATCGTTCATGATGAACGCCGTGGCTGTAGGAAGACAAAATGATGTGAAATATATCGCGGGGGATCAAATACCATGAAGCCCTGGTATGCTTAAATGCTCCTTCTCCCACAGACAACTAGGTGCAACGGGGTGCAATAAGCTGCAAAATTTTGTCTTGGAGTCGTTCGTTATTCGACATATCGGGCATACGAACAACTCATGAGGTAAAATGAAAGAGAAAATAAATATCTTCTTGACACAGAGAAAGATAGGAGCAAAATGGACGGTAAATTTTTTATTCATACCTAATAGTCGTGCGCTCAGTCGAAAACACCACTAACATCGTGGCCGTAACAAGGAATTAAATAAGACCGTAATAAGGTGTCTTTTGCTTGATCTCGGCATGAAAACGTTAACGAAACGCGTCGACGATAGGAAACGATTTTATCATCTGTGCTGCTGGCTTCCATGTTGTTGTTTTTCGGCATTATCTGAAGTGCGCTAAACATAACAGCCCAGCTTACCCAAGATTAATGATGTACGACATGCAGGAGATGGTTAATCAGAATCCTTGCTGCAACAAACCATATACTCTTTGCTTCTAGCAAATTTTGCCAGGTTTTAAACTGATTTTCAGTTTTTCTATGCCAAGTGTTTGGATTCTTTTTGCGAAACTTCTGATCACGCATTTCATCCCGCACTTCTACTGATAAATTGAACCTAACGTATAAAATCCGCTACCATCAAGAAACATAATCAAATGTGAATTTTCGTGCTTCGATTTTCTCAACACACGTTTAATCGCTATACAAAACAGCACGCAGCGAGCTAAAGATTATTATGTCCATTAACCTTTATGTGCGCATCTAACGTTACCAATTTCCCAAAGATTATACGAAACACAGTACAGTAAATAATTACGTTTTAGTAACGATGTTCTTCCCGTTCACGATTTTAGAACATGTTGAGGTTTTGCGAACAGCTGCATCTTTTCCCGGTTCAGCTCGAGAAAATGTGGTAGTGGAACAAAACCCGCTAGAAGAAATCAAATGAGCGTCATAATTCACTACCGATTCAACGCGACGTTAATGTTTTGCGTTTACCTTTTATTTCCGCCATTAATATCGTTCCTAAGTTCATCCCATGGATCCACAGGAATGAAACCATTCAGAAAACTACGAGTACCATATTTATAAGGTGACGCATTTCCTTTGGGTTCTAAAATCCAAAATAAAATTAATTAAACTGAAGAGGACAAGTTTAATATCTCATACAAATTAATAAAATTGTCGAAAGTAAAGTTGAGTATGAACAAAATGCAGCAAATCCGTTAACTGTGTTTAATATTCGGAATTCGGAATAAATCTTCTCAACATGGCTTTCATACGTTAAGTACGGTCTAATTGTTAGTGAATGCATAGAAGATAATTCTATGATCAAATCATGAACTCTCTTCTCATGCAAGTCACAACAACGACAACAACAAGCCATGATTAGCTGCACAACTAAATCTTCGAATTCTTTCACTTTCCCTTATAGGATGGCATGACTGAAGCACGTTCGACGATTTGTGAAACAAAATACACGATACACATGCGTTACTGCGTCAGTGCCAGAACCAGCTTTTCCGAGATCCTTTCTTGTTAACGAGATTTCATAAATTTTAAGGCCATCAACGAGTTCAGATTTACGACAGTGGGCCCCCCGCCTGCTAAAAAATACGACAATTCTATGAATCCTTCAACCTCGTAGGTTAATAACATCGAATCTCCTTCTGTTAGTTCTCCTTCTGGTGCCGATCCTGATGTCAGAGTTCGAAGCATCATTTTGTCAAAGCAGTCGTAATTTTCATATACCACAGCTTCCTAACTTCAACGTGTTTCAGACGCCGAGGTTGAGTGACAAATCGCAACGACAAAATTAATGAAAGTTCCAACGTTTCAGGGCATTAGAGCAAAATCATCACAGTCATATATAACGGTAAGTCTATAAAGCTTAAAGGGATCTACAGTGAGTTCCAGACGATTCAGCTTCCTCAGCAATAGTTTATAACCAACCATATGAGAGACCTGGTTAATCGAATCTTCTTGGAGTTTCTAGCGCTGTATTTTATAAGAAGTTCAGTCTTTTAATGCAAAGTCGCGCAGTTCGTACAGGTTAGCGAATCTGCTTTGCAACAACGGGTTTCGGCAAAAAATGGAACCGAGACACTAGAAAGATGCAACTTGCCACCCCCGTGACATATTCAGTTGGAATACGACTTCTGAAAACCGCCATCACGTGAAACGTGAGATTTTGATTGAGATGCTGAATTTCTCCACGAGTTACTACAAATTCGCTGGTAGACTTGCGATTAGCACTGCGTAAACCACTTACGACAGTTTTAACACAAATCTTCGAACGTACAGCCTTTCCACGTCAGGTCGCCTTTCCAAAACAGCTTAAATAAATAAACAGGCTACTGTAGTGGAATCCGTTGTCAGAATTATAATGTTTCATTTCAGATTAACAGAGAACTTGCATTAGGTTTAATGATATAACTTGAATTCTATATTCTATATTTTTCATTATTAAATTCTTTAAACAGTTAACTCTACATGCATGTATTACACAACATTTTCGTGGATGTTTCAGGTCGCATTAAATCGATCTTTAATGGACACTTGACCTCAACAACTGCAGCAATAACTTAAACCGCTCCTGCAGTCTTTAATGTAAAACGACTAATGAAGATGCTTCCATTGCGATCCGAGACGGTCGGGAATACAGCAGCAAATATGTATGCGGAAATGCCTTTTAAAGACTTGTAAACAAATAGAAAAGTATACCTTTCAGTATAAGATCTACTTATAAGCACACAACTGTTTAGAACCAGATTTCACTACATAACAAGCTATTTAAGCAGGCCAAAGCTCCGTTATATTTGTCCGTTTACAATTCACTGACGTATTTCTTATAATTGTTTTATAACAAGAAATGGGTTGCTCATGTCATGCTTCAGGAGTCAGTAATTTATTACGCTTTCAAAAAGCCTCTTAATGGCTTGCATACCGTAATATGTTAATAAGCACGTAATTTATGGTACATCTGGAAGGCATGTAGCAGACCAACAAGGTAAAGTTGGTCATGTGCTCAAACAGCATGAAGTCACAACTTGGTTAGATGATACTATAGGTGTCTAAAAGGAAGGATATGTGCGATACGCCGCAAAATGCAATTTCGGATCAGTTACGCATTCATTCACACACAGGAATCCGAATAAGAACCTAAATTTATCATGTACTG